TGTTTTATACAAGCTATCATTAAAGTAAGGATTACTTTTATTATAAATTTTGTACATTACTGATAACCCAACATTTTTTTGCTAACCCAGTATTATAACTGAAAATTTAGATTTTATTAGCATATGAATGTATATTCAAACTGACACCTTGATTATTACTGTGTACACAATTTACTTCACAGTTTAATGTACATTTATATATTTTTTGTTTCAAGATATTAAAACTTCATTTTGCATAATAAAAATTGTTAGACACTGCAAAGCATAAATTAAGTGAAATAAAACTTTGATAAACATAGGATATGATATTAAAATTTAAATTATATCACTGACCTTATGTTTCTGAACCATTCTTGAGTGTTTTTATCAGAGAAGGCCTTAGGAATTTCAGTAAATATTTTTGTGATTCAAACATATAACGGTATCAACTGTTATATAAGGACAAATATAAATTATAAGATATTATTGTGTGATTGTGTTAGACTAAATGTATAATTTATTAGAATGCAACAATACTTTGAATTCATCAGTGATTAACTATATAGATATATACTTAAGAATGGGCATTTAAATCTTGAAATATTAGCTGTTTTCCTTAAAAGGAAACATTTGTCATTCATTGACTGAGAAGGCAGAACTGCTTTTGATTGAAATTTATGAAATCTTTCTCTTAAAATAAGTTGTTTTTTAATTCAGAGACAGGGTACATTATTTTCAAAAGTTCAGCCTTAATGTCTGAGCTGTTTTCTGCAAAGCACTTTTGATACCTTAAAGGAAAAAGATGAAAAATAAAATTGATTTCACAACCAGAACACAAATTAATTTGTTTATAATTTGTAAATTAGCAAAACCATATAAACTGTTAAATTGTATTTAAAACAATACCTAAAATTCAGATATCCAATTGTTAAAAAGAGCCATATTTCTTATATAAGAAAATATATTAATTCAGTCCACTTGGAATTGAAAATAAGAAATATTGTCTATAAGTTTGTATATTTGATTTTGTTAATATTTTGGTTGGTTATTATTCAGTAGATGGAATTCTGTAAGAAAAAAAAGAAACAAACTACTTTTTCCTTGAAAAAGAGAATTTTCATTTATTTCTCCTTATACAAAGAGTCCAAACAATAATTGGGATAGTTAAATGTATTCAGGATTTAATTTTTAAACAGTTGAATGACAAAAGAAAAGAGAATAAATAAAAATCTAAAAAGTGACAAAATTAAAATATATTGGTTTTTATTGGAATCATGTTCTCAAAAAAGCTTAGAATTTTAAATCCTGTTTAATAAACAATGTTACACAAAATTATCATTTGTCAAAGAAAGCAATGCCTGAAGGAAAGTCATGTCCCAAAAGTGATATCTTCTAGCATAAGACACTAGAACAGTATCAAAATTTAAGTTTTCTTTCTTTCCAAAATGTTGTTAACAAAATCAAATATAAAAAGAAAGGATTCAATTGTCTGACAAATAATTAGAATGTTAATGACTCTTCTTAAACTTATAGACAATATAATCAACTATTTCTTATCTTCCAATTGGACTGAATTAATTCGATCAGTTAGAGAGATAAAAACAAAAGAATTTTAATTAAATTATACAAATTAAAAGAAACAAATAAGAAATGACGTCAACAACAAAAATAAAGAAATAAATATTCATTAATAAAGAAATGCATAAATTAATAACTTGATAAAAGAAACAGAAATATATTTCGGGTGGTTTCACTTTTTTACAAAAATATTTAGAAAAATGAAAACTATAAGGCTATGGGGTCACATGAAAGAATGTTTTCATTGGTACAAGGTAATTGTAAGCCTGTAGAAAAGCAGTAAGGCTATACTTTTACTATTTTTGATGCTGGCCTCAAAAGACAGGAATGAAGAGGCATGATAAGGTATGTATGAGGAAATAAATCTCATAGTGGCAGCTTTCTTTACTTGGAAATCATTGTCATTTTGTGTTCAGCCACTTATTCATATCACAAAGGAAGAAGAAAATCTGAAAGAGAATCAGGCAACAACAAAGACAGTTGATTCATTGATTTGGCAATTGTATAACTCAGAAACAATGAACATTATACTAAACACTATATATCCTTATCTAAAAGACTTTACTGTAGTGAAGTGTCATAGCATTATTTCATTGGGGTATCTTTTGAAAATAGGAAAGAATGAAGAATGAAAGAAAGACAAAGTGAAAGAGGAAAATTCAAAGAAGTAGGAAAAGGCATCTTCCAATATTTCTCTTATTAAAAGCTACACATGTTACTGGAGAAAATACAATGTAAATACATGTACAGATGTTAACACAAGCCTTTATATGCATATACTTTAAGTAAATAATGGTTCTGGTAGCTTGAGTATATCTTCAATTAATCAAACATGTATGAAGAGTTCTGTGTATTTGCGAAAATGTACAAAATCACATGCAACACCCTCTCTATATATATATATGTATGTATATATATATATGTATATATATATATATATATA